CGAATAGATAATCCTGAACTTGCTTCTCAATTTTTCCCAATTGGATTGTTTAATGTTGCTTATAAAATTGTTACAAAGGTTATTGTGAATAGGTTGAAACCTGTTCTTCCGAAATTAATTTCGAATACCCAAGCAAGTTTTGTCCCGGGTCGTCAAATCATGGATAACATTTTCATAGTACAGAAGGTTATACATATGATGAGAAGAAAGCAGGGGGGAAAAGGGATTCATGGCAATAAAAATAGACTTAGATAAAGCCTATGATAGACTTCGTTGGTCTTTCATTAGAGACACAATGATCCAGATGAACCTCCCTATATTCATGATTGAGATAATCATGGAATGCATTACTACAGCCTCCCTTCAAGTTCTATGGAATGGTGAGCCTTCCCCTAAGTTTAAACCTTCACGAGGGATTAGATAAGGCGACCCATTATCTCCATACCTCTTTGTGATGTGCATGGAGCGGCTTTATCAGGTAATTGAAGAAGCAATAATTCTGAAGAAGTGGAAACCAATTTGAGCGAGCAGAGATGGACCTATGCTCTCCAATCTTTTTTTTGCAGACAATATCATTTTATTTGCAGAGGCTAGCATCAAACAGGAAGAGACCATTCATGATTGTTTGAGAAGATTTTGTGATGCATCGGGACAAAAAGTAAGCCTTAGTAAATCAAGGGTTTACTTTTCGAAGAATATCGGAGAGGATTCGAAGGCAAATATAAGTGCAGCTTTGGGAATGAAAGCTATGGAGGACTTTGGGATGTCTACGCTTACAAGTAGCGTGACCAAAGAGACATTTCAGCACCTATGTGAAAAGATCGACAGAAGATTATCGGGGTGGAAGACCAAATATTTGTCACTAGCTGGCTGAATAACTCTTGCAAATTCGACAATCTCGACAATGGCTATGTACTCGATGCAGTCCTCCAAGATCCCTAAGGCAACTTGTGAAGCAATTAATTAAAAAACTCGACAATTTATTTGGGGAGGAAGTGACGAGTAGAGGAGAGTGCACTTAATTTCTTGGGAAATGATTTAAAAACCAAAAGATCAAGGAGGCATTGGTATTCACTCGGCAAAGCAAGCTAATGCTGCTTTTCTCACCAAACTTGGATGGAGGGTCCTCTCGGAACCTAATGCTTTGTGGTCTTGGGTTTTAAGAGCCAAGTATTGCAAAGGGAGGTGTGACCTTGACATGTTTAAACCCAAAGTAGGAATGTCGAATGTGTGGAGCGGGATTACCAAAAATGCCCAATTTTTAGGGGAAGGAATTAAAATTGCTGCGGGGGATGGTTCTAAAACATCATTTTGGAACCATAAATGGTGCACGGATCAACCTTTAAGCACACTTGTTGTGCAACTTCCCATGACATGTGGGAGGAAGGGGAAGGGTGGAGATGGACTATTTTTTAGCCCTTTCTTGGATCTACAACTCTGAAAATTATCCAGAATCATAAGCAGAGACTGGATACGAGCATGGGGGACTTAATGTACTGGAAGGAAGGAGTAAGAGGAAAGTTCACCATTAGATCAGCTATGAGGGTTATGAAACATCAAACAGATACGATTGATGATGAATGTTGGAATGCAGTTTGGCATGCCCCTGTCCAGCAAAGAATACGAGCCTTTCTTTGGCTAGTTTTCCATGATAGAGTGCTTGGGAACCTAAATCGATTTAAAAGGAAAATGACAGATGATCCTAAATGTTTCATTTGTGGAGCTAATGAAGAAAGCACCATTCATATTCTTAGGGACTGTTTTGCAGCTAGGGTGGTGTAACACCCCCAAAATTTGAGTCTTTTAAAACAATGAGAGTAACCTTTTTAACTTTCAAAATCCAACCATCGAACTCTGAGAGTGTTACTGCTACACTTATTTTTCGTAGAAAATAAATGCAAAGCAAAAAATGAAATAATAAATAAACTACGTGGTCTAATAAGTGGTGGCAAAATAAAATAGTCATTACATCAAAACTGCAATTATTTGAAAACAATAGTTAAAAGGAAATAATTAAATTCGGAAATAACTAGATTGTCTTAGCTACGTGATTATTCTAACGTCTCCTCATACGGAACCGAGTACCCTCTTACCAAGCAGCAAAATAAATCAGAAACAAGAAAAGAGAGAGAACTCCCTAAATCAGATAAACTGAGTAATTCCAACTCCATCCCGTAAAATAAATAATTTTAGTTCGAAAACATTTTATACATAATATAGTCTCATAATCATTATAATACTCAACCAAGTTCAAATTGTCACATATAATACTTTATTACCTAAATTAAGAAAAGGAAAGAGAACGCGGGACTAGTCCCTGTCACCACCTACTTTACAGAGGGTCGCGCGTAACCCCAAATGGCCATGAAATAAACAGAATGTCCCTAGTGTGCACACCCCTCACTAATACCCAATAATTAGGAGGAAGACTAACAACAATATACAATAAATTAAACCAATTAGTAGCAACCATAACTACTAGTGGACAACCTGTTCTTCACCCTTTCGGGTTTCATTTCCCTTCTTAATTAAATTTCACTGTACATTTTATTAGATTAAATCATCCGATTACACTGTACACAAGTATTGCACAAATCAATTTAATTCCAAGTAACAGTACTTCAATTTCAGTATTATTAGACCATATTCATCCTACCTGACATATAGACCATCAATCATATATAATCAATCATCCAATACCCAAGATCTTATTTATTTAAAAAAAAAACTCATACGATATCAAATAATCAATTTTTTCGAAAATATATATACTAGTACACAAAATAGAAAACTAATACATAATATGATTCCATAATATCATACGATAGCACACTCACCACATATAATTACATAAGCACATAGTTGGCACGCAATATTTCAAAACAATTTCCTAACGGGATTTTAAAGATGATGGACATTGAAAATTACCTTGATCGTGCGTAAAATCTCAAGGTAAATAACCTCCGAAATGTTCACCTAGAAGCCTCCGTCTACCAATAAACCAATAAACAGGTCTAAGTTAGTCTTACTATGTTATTGATCAATAATAGCCCTTGCTAGAATCCACTAAGTAACGTTGTCAAAAGAAACAATATAAGTGTAAGTGACTAAACTTAAAGCATGAATTTATTTAACTATTTAAAACAAAATTAATTTCTTTTTCTATAAAATTCACTTTGACTAAATTACTATTGAATTACGGAAAAAAACCCTAGCCTGTTAATTTTAAGGGGCTTCCATCGGATTTCACCGATAATGTCTCCCTCGAAAGAAAGGGTTTATCTCAAGATAAGGTTTTTTCGATCTCCTTCGAAAGACAAGGTTTTTCGTACAAGACAAGGTTTTATTTGTGCTTAATTTGGTCTCCGGTTGTGCGGGGCTACTATTGATTGTGGCTCGGATTCGGGTTACGGAATCAACACAATAATTTACTTTCTCACAAAATTGCGAAGCGACGACGGATCCATTCAAAAAGTTGTATGAGACAACGAATCGAGAATATGCCGAATTGTTATATTTATGTATTTGGATTCTTAGCCCTTCCCCAATTAATTCTTGTTTGATTTTGTTAAATTCGTTTCATTATCGTTCGTTGTCAATTGTAGATGCCGTATGGCTTACATTAATGAAATTTAGTATCCTTTTAGGACTTTTTTCCAAAAAAAAAAAAAAATTCACTTTGACTAAAAGCCTGCAACTACAAGACATTATTAGAGTAAAGGGGTAGGCGACATCGGCATGGAGAATACAACAAAAGTGACGATCGATTGCCATATTGGTGAACATGATTCTGCCATCTCGTATTGCAATTCTTTTGATTTGTATACAATGGATTAAGGAGGTAATATATATATTGTAGAAGATTTCCTTTAAAATCATCTAAATGGATGGAAAGAGGAGAAGAAACATGGTTTACCTTTATACCAAGACAGCTATAGTGATGGGTTTTAGAGAACAATGCAAGACAGAGTAGGGAAAATATGGCTTCTTGAGGGTTCAATGGTTTTTCTAACGGCAATTGGGATGGAGTGGTATATTTATACATAGGGATTAATTAAGTATCTAGAAGGCTCATATATAGGATAAGATTAAAATTAAGATGGAGTTGTTTTCTTGTTTCAATCCGAAACAACCGATAAAATCAGATTTATTTTATTTTATTTTTTTCAAATGAAATATTGAGATAGAAATCTCACGCTGAAATCAGGTTTTTTTTTTTTTTTTTTTTAAAATATCCGAAAATAGAAAATAATTATAAATTCTATTAAAATAACATATATAGTTATAGTTTAAAAGTTTATACTAGCTAGAAAATTTGGGGTATTACAGGTGGTTTGGAGAAAGACGCTAGATCCTTCAATTGCACAGAAATTTTATCATGGTAATGTGAAGGAATGGATTACAATGAACTTAAAAAATCCAGACCCCCAAGATGATTACAGTTGGACGACATATTTTGTTGTGGCAACATGGTGGATTTGGAGGTGGAGGAATTGCTATGTCTTCAATACAAGGAATGAATTGCCCTTAGACTTCTGTGCATTCCTTCAAGTCAGGTATGAAGAAGCAAAAAGAGCTCTCAGAAGCATTATAGATGATGCAGGGGAATGGACTGATCAGAAGCAGAGGAGTGAAATTATGTCACTTGGAGAGCTCCGGATTATGGATGGTATTCTCTAAACTGTGATGGAGCTGTTAAGGGTTGTCCGGGGCCTGCTGGAGGTGGTGCCCTCATAAGGGACTATAATGGTACACTAGTATCAGCATTCTCTTCAAACTTTGGTTATTGTACAGCATATAGAGCTGAGATTATGGCTCTAACTCGAGGACTGGAGATGGCTCAAAACCTTCAAATACAAAACCTAGAAGTTCAGCTTGACAACATAGCCTGTGTTCAAGCTTTGCAGAAAAGAGAAGTCCCAAGAGGTGAAAATATCCATGACATAATCTACTGCCAGCAGTTGCTAAATAATGCAAGATGGAAAGTCAAGGTAGCTCATGTATACCGTGAAGGCAATCGAGCGGCGGATTGGTTGGCCAACCGCGGAGTTGTTCAAGACTCTCAATTGGAATTCATTCATAATGTGTCGGTGGAATTTAGTTGTATTTTAGAGGAGGATAACAGGGGTGTGGCCTTACCACGCTTTGTACCTTCGTAGGTAGTGTTCTTTGTTTTTTTGCTTTTTATTTTCTGCCTTTTATTTTTTCATGGATTGTAATCCTCATTTGAATAAAAAATAAAAAATAATAATAAAAAAAAAGTTTCACAAAAAATGTCTTAAACTTTCTCTTTATTTTTTTTTTTGAAATAAACGCTTAAATCGAAAGACCAACTCACTACCCTCTCTCACACTCCCACCAAATCGGCGGCGGCGGCGGCGGCAACATTGTACCGGCTACGGAAGGACCGAGCTCTCCTATTCCCCGACTTCTCTACAACTCTTCTTCAAATTTTTAAAGGTTAATTACTAAATTTAACTTCTTGTTTGTCTAATTAGTAATTGCAAATATATATTGAATTCTAATTCAAGTTCTTAAAATTTTAGGTTAAATTGCAAATTTTATAGTTCTTATCGAATCATAGTAGAACCTTCAATACATTTGTTGCTTTCAAATGTTACAATTTTGGGAAACGATGTAGTGAGGATTTGATACTTTGATGTATATGAATATTGAAGTAAAATGTTGTTGATTGAAATTATTGGTTTGATACTTTGATTACTAAACATTTGTTTCGATTTCGATTGATTCGGGATTTTATTGTGTACATTTTGTACAGATTGGAGGTATTTCAGTAGTTAGGGTAGGAGAAGTGTATCAAACATGCCACTCTATGACTGTGTGCTATTACTGAAACCTCAAGTGGAGAATCCTTCCTTGAAGGAATTGATTGCTCGGGTCGGGAAACACGTTTATGCTCGAAATGGCGTGCTCACCGAGATTAAGTACTCTGGAACTGTTCATCTGGGTTATGGTATTAAGAAGCTTGATGGAAGATACTTTCAGGTGATAATATAGACTAATAGACTCTTCGTTTTCTTTCTGTTTTTGGAACAATACAATATTGTGGTATGATTTTGCGTATTAGTTTGTCGAAGTGATCACATTGCCTCGAGATTTTGATCATGTTTATTTGCTTTATCTGCTGCTTGAAGACTTGCCCAATTCCCAGCTTTGAGATCACTTGTTGGGGCTAATCTGATGATGATTCAGTCTGTGATTGTTGTGTAAATCTTTCGGGTATATAAATTCTGGCATATGTCAATAATGTCATTGGTTCGAAGGCCAAAACTTCCTTGAGTTTGATATCTACCAAAGTCTTGTTTAGATTATTGGGTTGACCTTGAAATAATGTACTCCCTCTGTCCTATAATATAATGCTTATTTCATTTTATATGTCTTCAAGACTTACCATTGATCATAAATATCTTGAGTTCTATAATAACAAATTTTTTTTTTTAAAAAAAAAATTTGATATTGCAAAACTACATGTTGAGACAAATCTAAGGATATTTTACATGACTGTTTCAAAGTTATAAAGTTTGACTATATATATAGGAATAGACATTATATTATGGGATGGAAGGGGTATATGTTTAAAATATCAAGAAAGATGAAGGTGGAAGTATCTATATTTCTTTTTCATGTATATGGCTTGCATACTATTTTTTGTGTTAATATCTTGCATGAAAGGTTATATAACCTTTAGAGGAGTTTATGTGTTCAAGACTAACCTTTGGAGGAGTTTACGTGTTAAAGACCACAAAAAAAAAACGAAGTAGAAAAAAAGATTAGGATCAAACCAAGGAGGTCAAGGAATGAAAGGAGGGGGATGGGGTGGGGGGGGGGGGTGACAACCTTAGTGCTTTCAATGAGTCTAGACTTGCTTTAGGAAATTAGGTTGTCATCTTGCTACTGCATGGAGGCATCCTTTAGGAGGTTGTCTAAATCAAAAGAGGCCTATTTCCATTTTGAACACAAGTCACTTTAAGTGGCACCAATAAATGTGTTATTGGTACAAAGGTTGTGCTTTGGTACCCCTACTAAGAGCACCTATACACTTCTTCTTGGTACCAGTTAGAAGAGGGGCTTAATTTGTGCCATTATGTCAATTTGGTACCAATAAAGAATTTGTTGGTACTCATTTTGGGTACTACTCAAGGTTGCTTGTGTCCAAAATAGGCCTAGCCACTTCCTCGATACATCTATCAAAGGAAGAACGTATGTGCCGCTTTTGTGAAGAATTCTTGGCAGGTTTTCTTTCCCTGTTTTTATTGCTTGTCATGTGTCCATGACTCCATGTACGTCTTTTTGATTTTTTTTTCCCCCTTGTTCTATATGTTTTTAAGGGGAAGGGAAGAGGGGAGGGTGTAGGTGGTGGAAGTCATTCCACTAAAGATTTTTTTATGGGAAACTTTATGAAATCACGAGTGAGGGTCAAGTCCTTTAGGAGATCTTGCTCAATTCTCATGTTTATTAACTTGAAGATTGCCAAAAGTATATGGTTTTTTTTTTTTTGGTAAAAGGAAAAATTATCATGTTGGATAATTAAATCTTATAAGAAGTCTAAACTTGCTGGTTTGAGGGTCTCTTTCTAAGCACAACCATTAAATTCAATACAAGTCACAGCAAGGGTTGTTAAAACTGAATTCAAGCCAAAACCTCTTGATTTTATTGTTTACAATTAGTAGCCTTTAGGCCTATATATAACTTATAAGACCTCAAAAGCGCCCCCTAGCTTCCCTAATTAGGAAATAGCTTTATGCTACATGGTTGCCTAAAAGAGCCAGAGACTCAGCTCTAAATTTTCTGAAAGTAAGTCACCATTCTATAACTCTCATACTCAAGATATGAATAAGCTCAAATGATATTACCATACGGTCCATGCTACGTCTCATTCATTTTTCAGCATCTCCATTATAGCTAACACACTATTGTTGTCCTTGATGCATGAGTTATTGAGTTAACAGTAATATATAGCATGCAAGTGGCATCAAGGGCCTAGGAGAAAGATTATTAGAAGGCTAGAAGCTAAGTGTTGATGTTTAAGGGTAATTGGGCAATATGGCCGTAGAAGAGAAAAACACAGCAGCTCGAGAAAATACAAATGAGATAGAAACTTTGGTACTTGGGTTCAATTAGCTTAATTTGACCTTCAAGTTGACGCACAAGAGATGTAATTTGATGGTGAAGATCAGGAGTACAATTAAGCACAGTCAAGTATTTTGACAAGTTCACATGGATTTGGTTTAAAAAGCTTAGTCAGTTTAGTTTAATTAAAGAGATGAAGTGGAGTGCAATTCTTTTTTAGGATCTATCAAGCTGTTCAGCCTATTTTGCAGTTACCCCATTAATTTAAGGACATATTGACAGTTAGAAAATTGAAAGTTATACTTCGTAATGAATTTATATGGATTCTTGATATGTCCATATTATCATTAAAATGAGTTCACTATTCATATCAAGATGTATCGTGTAGCACAACCGCAGCCTATGATAATTGGTAACTTCTTCTTTTTTTTTTTTTTTTCTTTTTTTTTTTCCTGAACTTATATTAAAGCCTTTAAAGGTTTTGCAAGATTAAAGACTCAATAAAATAAGAATTGATATCATGGTTAGTAGATATTACCTGAGACTAGTTTCTCTATAATGTATTGCACTCTGAATAGAACTAGTCTAGGTTTAATTTGTAGCAATATCCTAGCAATTCCAATACTTGTCTTATTAAATTTACATCAGAGCCAGTAACAAAATTGATTGGGTTTGTAAACCAAACCAATTATGAAGAGTAGCTTTCTTTGGGTATTCAACCTTCAAAGTGAACTTTAACTTGTGTATTTGCCTTAAACTCCATCATAAGACCAACAAAGCTTTTTGAGGGCTTATAATGCTTGCTTTTTTTTTAACAAGTTATGTCAGCCAGGAATGTTACATTATGTATGTTGGTAATTATGGTAAACGGTATAGTGTCAAGTCAATTAGTTATGTTAGTGTCATGCAAAGAAATGTGTGAAGTCAATCTCAATAGAGTGTTAGAGACTGAGATGAAGAACCATTGAAAGTTATAGAAACAAGTAATGGGGCCTGTATGGCTTGGCAAGATGAAGAATAAAGAGAGAGAGAGGGGTCAAGGGTAAGGGTATTCTGTCCTTAATTTCAGGCTATGGACTTTCTTGTCCTATAATTGTGAGAAGCTTGGGAGCATTGATCCATTTGGATGCTTCGGTGATGAGACATTTTGATTATACAAGGTTAATTTCCTTGAACATTTACAGTAGTATTCTGGACCATGCAGCCACTAACAGCTGGTCAGTTATACTGCTTTATACAACTAAAGGGTGGCTTTGTGAGGCTTTTGTGAAGATAACAAAAGCAATATCTAGGGATTAGATTTATGAAATGTATAAATTTTCAATTATGTCTATCTTGCTTCTTAAAAGTTAGGTAAACCATGATGAATATCCCTTGTGATGTGGGATTGATTTTTAGAGAAAAAGAGAGGGGGAGGGGAGGGGGTGAGTGGGGCGCCAAACTCAGAAACACTCACTTCCAAGCGAGGTTGGAAGTAGAACTTTGTTGGTGTTTAGGTTGAGGTAGAACTCTTGGGAAGTTTTGGTTTATGTACCAGTTTGATGGTTAACTAAGCTCAGTTGGCTGAGATATCCCCTTTTCTTATTTGGTCTTTTTGTTTGTACTGGTGGAGATCTTAGTAATATGATTTCTGATTGTATTGCTCTTCTGTAACAAAGTGATTTGCTTCCCCTAGTTCAAGTTGTATCAACTCTGCTGTCTCTTCAATATCGAGGTTTTTTCTCTGAAATGATTCCTGACTAATAAAGACTGTATTTGTTCATGCACTGATTTTCTGTCCACTATTATCATCCAGCTTGGATATGTTTTCTTTGTGAAGTCACACTATGTTCAGATGTGTTCTAGCTTTGCTATATGCAGAATCTTTGGTTTTCCGATGAATGAGGATAATAGTCTTTAACATGTATGGAAATGCGACATATTTGCTTTATACATGTAGGGACGACTGATGCAAATGACCATGATGGCAACACCCAATATAAACAAGGAGCTTCATTACTTGAACAAAGAAGATCGGCTATTACGATGGCTCCTTGTGAAGCATCGAGACACAAAGTTTGGGCTTGACTACTCGGATAGAGAAGATTCAAGAAGTGAATTAAACAAATTCAGTTTGCCTAGCATATATGATAATGCAGATGGAGATGAGGAGGAGGATGATGATGATGATGAAAATGAATATGATGAGGAGGCAGAGAAGCAAGATGGTTAAGGATCATTGATATTGGAAGTCCCGTGTAATTTCCTGATAGTCAAGCTCGTTCTTGCAGCACGTGGGTCATAATTCTTAGGTTTTAGGTTATTGCAGCAGAATGCATATGAACTTAATATTGATGTTTTTTTTTTTTTTTTTGGGTTTCCCTCCTTTTTAGCAATAAGAGAATTTACTTCTTATTCCGAAATTATTGTCAGAACTCATACATCATGAACTAAAAGGTTTTTGTTGGGCTCTTGGAATGCCCTCAATATTAATTGCTGTATACTACCCCCCCCTCCCCCCTCCTTTTCCCTTCCCCTAGATTGCAGTTTAGCATGTCTTTTTCCGACCTGCTTGCTGAAAGCTTCGATTCCCTGCAGCTAGATGGCCTGAAGGCATATCTTCATCATCACTGCCGAGTGCGTGCCTTCCATTTCTATGAAAGCAAGGGGTGAGGGTGTGTAAAGACTCCAGGGTCTAGACTTTAGAGGGAAACACTCCCCTGTACCTGAAAAAAAGTTACATTACATATACAAAACAAATACAGTACTTGGTTAAATTTTAGTTGGGTGGTAACCAACAACCTTCGGCTTAGACCCCTAACTAGAGATGGCACATTGGCACTTAGATAGTCCAAGTCTAGAAGTTCTGATGTGTAAACTTTACTACTCTAAATTCAGTACCAACAAATCAAAATAGATATCATCACTTCCAGATTAGCAGCATTTAACATTCATCACCTTAAAGGCTTAAACACCCAGAGTTAGTTTATTAAACAAATATCTTTCCCTTTTTTGGTCACATATATAGCATTGATTGATTAGAAATCCTGATAGTTTTAACGATGATGGGTGATAAGTTAAAATGGAGGAGCCCCAGTTAATCTCCGAGATTAACACATTCCAAGTTAATCTCCTCTCACAGCTTTATGTATATGTTTTCGTGCCATTTTACTATTTTACTTTTATTATTTAAAAAATAAATATAAAATAATATATTGTAAAAGGAGATTAACTTGAATTCTCCCGTTAAAATGAACTAGAAATTGGGGGATAAAAAAGTCCAAGTTGAAAGACTGGACAATTCTTTTTTTTTTTTTTTTTTTTTGGAAGGTAAGAAAAAAAAAGGAAAGAATTAGGACCCCCTCTTCACGAGGGATGATCCTAAAGCATCTGAGGTGAGAATGGGGTACAAAGCTGAAGAGGTACAAAAAGAAATATCTAATTTGTCAGTGACAAGATGGCCAACATTTGCAATCCAATCTGCTGCTCTGTTTACTTCTATGTAGACATGTCGAATTTTCCAATGGGGGAATTTACGAAGTAGGATCTTGATATCTGCTATAATGTGATCAATCTGCCACAGGGTTGATCAAATTCCATTCACTGCGTTGACAACGAGGAGATTGTCCCCTTCAATTTGAAGATCTTGTATCGTAATGCACATCATATTCTAGTCTGTATACTTTAGCAATTGCCTGTACCAAATTCCAATACATAGTTGAACTGCAGCTGATACCTCGTGCAACCGAGTATTATCGAAGAAGTGGTTAAGGGCTAGTCAATGGTAAGTTATTGACGCAAACAAGCAATAATGGAGAACCACGGCAAGGAAGAGTTGCCTATGAAACCTCGATTAGTAAATTGATGAGAATTAATTTTCCCTTACTTTGGCTTGAAATTTATGGGCCATAGACAAGGCCTTCAAGATAATATAACAAGGCTCAACACCTACCTCAAGATGAAGCATGCCGCAAATTTTTGGGTGAGGCTACGCTTGAGATTGCACCCAACAAATGAATATTTACGATAAAAAAAAATGAACATTTATTTTTGAACATTGCATTATATAAAAATGAATATTTATAATATAAGAGTAAAATAAAGAGACTATAAAATTGAAAAAAAAAATTGTACATTTAATATTATGTAACTAACATTTCATTTGTAAATAAAAATGAACATATGATGTTATTGCTTATTCATCAACATTTTTGTAAGCTTCAAGTTAAATACATTTGTTCAAGTCTCTTGAATAGATATCTTGCAATATAATTGAGCTATACGATTTAATATCAACTAAATAAATCAACAATATGTTTTTTTAATAATGAACAAAATGCTAATGTTTAACATTATTAATGCTAATATTAATTGAACATCCTTTATTATAAAAACGAATATTTATACAACTGAACAAACACAAAAATTTGTATTAATTTTAAAAAAATTAACATTTATATTTTTATAAGAATGGACTTCATACGACATGAAAATGAACATTTATTTTATAAGAATGAATATCGTACTGCATGATAATGAACATATGATTATTGAGAAATTCAAAATTATAGTAAATATGTTCAGTTAGAAAATGTTCATTTTTGTTATAGTAAATGTTCAATTTCAGCAGCAACCTTAGCTAGTGCTGGCTAGGCGCGACCTCAGCCATTAACTACTAGAAGCATGCAGATCACTATTACCTAAAACCTTAATGAAAATATCTATTGGCAATACAAATGAGATGGGAGTAGGCAGTCTTGCCTATTAATAACAAAATCTATTGGAATACAAATTAGATGGGAGCAGACAGTCTTGCCTATTAATAACAAAAGCGAGGACAAGAGTTGATTGAGACTTATGATGACCGAACAAGTTGAGGTGGCCACCAAGTGGGTTCAACAATGAATTTTATTTGTTTTGAAAATTTCTTGTAATTTTATTTGTTCAGGTGCTTTAAAACATGTGACGACTTAATTTCTATAAAGATGTGCAACAACAAACAAGTTTTAAAGTGATAAGCAGCAATTGATAGGAATATTTTTCTTTCTTTCCAAAACATCGGATTATGGACACCATATATAGTTGGTCAATAATATATGTCAAAAAATAAAGTCAATTCTTGATAACTTGACCTTTCTCGCCAAAACATGATTTTACAAACTATAATATGAATGTCACAATGTAATAGTGGATTACCCAACTGTAAATGGCTATGTAACTTAGTTTTGTAAGATGTACAAAATCATACGGAGTAACAAGTGATATCTACGAAGATCTATCCTTCTTATTTCCTCTTCTTTCCAAACTGGTCGTTTGCAAGGGGATCCCTTTGATGATCTTGATGTATGTCTTATGTTTGATGGTGCTTGGTTCGCAGTGGACAACTGTGCTAGTATTAGTTGGTGGCTTCGGGAGGCATCTTCGGATATAGTGTTGGGTGGGTGTGCAAGAGCTTGTCAGACTTCCTCTGCTCTCCAAGCGGAATTGCAGGTCTGTTTGGGAGGTCTTCATATGGCCTTTCGGATAGGTGTTCGCCACCTCCTTATTTACACTAATTGTGTTGTTCTTGTCACCGTTGTTTGTTATTAACGCTTTGTAGATATTGCCTATGTTTGGTTACTCCAAGACATTAGCTTTGCTCTTTTGAAGTTCTCAGCGTGTCAGATTTGCAAAGTTCCTCGTCAATGGGTTTCTCCTACTCATTGGTTGGCTGTGAAGGTGCTACAACGACCGTTTCTTTTTTTATCCTTATAGTTTGGCTCTGTTTTTCTTTGGTGTAATTGTTTTTTTTTATTAGAACTTCTTGTCCCCAAAAAAAGAAAAAGAAAAAAAAGGTGATATCTTAAACAAATTCATCAAATTTACTTGTTTCTCTTCTCAATCTACTCGTACATCGTATGGGGTATTTTAGACTAATTTTTTTTTTAAAAAAAAAAAACAAAGGTAATACCACTCAATAACTTAAAAAAAAAAAAACTGGACAATTTTGCCTGCTCCATAATTTGTAGCAGTAATATCTTAGAATAAAATTGAATGAAATCCGGCACATAAATACATAATGAGCAAAAGAGAGCAAGCGACAGAGATGAGTAAAGCAGCAGCAGCAAATGAATATCATTCCAAAGACTTCGAATGGGAGGAACTCAGACTTGAAGTTGAGAATCACCCTTCTCTCTCATACCATCTCTCTCCTTTCCAACCCTCTCTTTCTCCGTCTTCTCAGGATCCTCAAGCATGGTCCCACTTTCACTCTCGTCACTCCACTGGCAAGTTCTTCAAGGTACTCTCTTTTATTCAATTAATTATCATTGAAACTTGTAGTTTTTTTCATGGGATTTTCTCTATTGTACTGTATTTATAATTTGAAGGGTTTGTGTTTCTGGGTTTTGTTCTTTCATGGGATTTTCTCTATTGAATTGTATTTGGATTTTGAAGGCTTTGTGTTTCTGGGTTTTGTTCTTGCTCATGAGAATATTATAAAGGAAAGATTAAGAATTAATTGTGATTGTTTCTAAGTGATATTTAGTGGGTGTTTGAGTTTTTTCTTTTTTACTTGTTATCAATTGATGCTCCTTTGGAAATGGTTTTTGTTTTGTATTTAGGATTAGGGTGCATTATAGCTGTATTGTTGCAAAACATGAAATGGAATGTAGTTGGGAGATAGAAAGGGTAATGATGATCATTACTTTTAATTTATGTATTGTTTGGTATCAGAATGGAATTAAAAAAAAAATTGAGTGGAGTGAAATTGGGGAGGGTAACTTGATGTGTTGTCATTGGGTTAGGAGGTGTAACAAGTGGTAGGAATCAATTAATCTCGAGTAAGGGAAATCTTTAATCTTCGTACTAAACACACTCTTAATTGTTAATGGGAGAGGGACTTTCTTTTGGGTAGGGGGCGTGGTTGGACCAATGCTTTAGTAAAGGGTGTCAAGTGATTTTATAAAAACTTGGGTTGGATATTGATCTGGAGATAGTAGAGGGTTGTGGATTTTGACTTATAAGGGCAGATAAAGCGGAATGAAAGGGAATGTTTAAGAAAATGTAAACTTGGATAGACATTTATATTGTTGCTTTCAATTGAACATAATGATGCAAGAGGATTTTCATTTCAGCAGCACATAGTGCGGTTAGGGGTTCATGATGCTGTATTGTATTTCTTTTTGGGTTTGAAATGTAATTTTTATGTGTAATTATTGATTTTTCTAATTTGATTGGAGAATCACTGTTTATTTTTGACTGGTTTCTTTCTTGTCATCTATATATGACTATATGTCTGTATGGTAGTGTTTGTAATCCTTGAATATTACTTTATGTGGGTGAGTGGGTGTTATATTACTTATATGATTAATGATTCTGAACATGCTTGTGTGCGTTTAGGAAAGAAGGTATTTGCTGAAGGAATTCCCCGAATTACTTTCTTGTGAAGACTACTCCAAAGTTCTGGAGGTGGGATGTGGTAATGGTAGTACAATTCTCCCAATACTGCGGTAATGACTTTCATAATCTCCACCAACTTTCATAATCATGCTGGCAACTTTGATTCTTGATTTCATGAAATATACTTCTCTGTTGATTATATCTCCCACTTTAGATATCTCTTTGAATGTGAGTTCCAACTTCCTAGTTTATTAATAAATTTCCAAGTAGGGATTGTTGCTAAGAGTTTTTGCATCATTTTGTTGCACCAAGGCACCAGTCTCTTAAGCTTCTCATGCTTGTATCAAGCTAAGATACAAGTGAAGCGTATAGTAACCAGGCATTTGACCTAGTAGCCCTAGATTTTACATGGAAATGCTGAATTAACAAGCATTACCTTTCAAATATTTACTAACATGAAATACAAGGGGTATAAAGCAAATTAGTTCAAGTGTGCAGCAGTTGATAGTTTATTGTTTCTACTTTTCATACAAGAAAATGTGTTTTTCTATTCTTCCCATTAGACTCTGTAATTTGAATGTAGAACGTTGACCTTTCTTTATGTTTTCTACAATTGCATACCCGGGCATCTCTCTTAAGATTACATTGCAAGTAGGTAGCTTTTTTGTCATTCATCTTTTAACATACTCCCTTCATTTTAGAATGCTCAAATAACTTACCGTAGACTCTTGTTTCTAAGATAAGTTAAAATAAATGAGTGGGTGTAAATAAAAATTGAATAAAGAAATACAGATGGAGTAAATAGGTAGATAAAGTAAGAACAAATCAGTTGAACGGTGTAAATATTCAATTATAAGAGAGGGGTGGGGTTGGGGGGTGGGGGGAGATAATTATGAGGTTGCCAAATTAGAATAAATTGAAGGTGACTTGAACTTTCTGAAACACCCCTAAATGAAAAGTGAGTTGAACTTTCTGAAATAGATTATGTTAGGAGATATATGCCAGATAAGCAAGATTGTATATTTTGCGATTATTTACTTATTTACAACAAAATTGCAGCAGCTTGAGGTGAAAGATATGAATCTTTGTTTATATCAATGACCTCCTGAATAAAGCTTAAAAGGTTGAGGCTGCACATTATGTGCTTTGCTCTTCAAGAACAAAGTAACTCCCCACCCTGATGCTGCAAAATTTTACTGTTGAAAACAATACTTTCTTTGACTTAGCCAAACTTATCATTCTATTATTGTTCATGAATTGCTATTCTGAGACGATGATTTTGCATATCAGTTGATGCTTTCTGCAAAGTATCTAAGTAATTTGTTTGGAATCACCAAAGATAGAAAGTACTCCATGAGAGTTGAGTTACAAATTGTTCAAGATTATTCTCTATTAACCATCTAACTCCTCATATATTTTATGTTCAGCAGGTTAAAGTACACCACTCAGATATTCATAGACTGTTAAAATATTGCTTGAGGTCCATTTCACTATCATTCCTTCCCTCTTCTCTAACAGTAAACAAGCAAAAAGTTATGTCCTGCTGGTGACAGAGAAGATGGGGAAGATTATCTAGACTTCTAAATTCTAATGCACTTTTGCTATTACTAAAGCTAATCATTTTCCTAGATTTTGATAATTTTATTCAGGACCTTTTCAATGCTATACATTTGCATGAACATAAGTATGTTACCAAGTTCCCTCCTGCCATACATGTTCAATCCCAAGTTCCCAACTCTTTTATGAGAGGGCTTGTAGTTAGTGGAAAATAAAGATTTCCAGTCCCTCCTAATCTGCTGAAGTCTTGATTTAGTTTAATTTTGCAGCATATTGCTCCCTCAAATTATCTTAAACTCTTATTTGTATCATTTTTTTTTTCTTCTGTAGAGTAAAGGAGAGGACCAGTGTTTATGCTTGTGATTGTAGTGTTGAGGCACTTGAGAGAGCTAAGCAAAACTTAGAAGGTTCTGGTATTATTCATGTGATGGAGCGTTTCCATCCTTTCTGCTGTGATTTCTCTACAACTCCGTTTCCAAATTGGTTGGCTTGTGATTCATGTCGGAATAAGCAATTAGAAAAGTTGGTACATTGTGATTCTGGTAGAATAATTGATGTCGTTTTTTTTTTTTTCTTTCTTTTTTTTCCCCATATATAATACTTCTATAAACTGTTGTCCATTATGTTGCTTTTTTGATGTTACAGAAATCAATGACAATGAAAGAACACTAACTGATCTGGCTTCTGCGCAAAATAGTAGGTGTTGCCTTGGTGGAGTGGACTTTGTCACATTGGTACTTTTTTCTTAACCAAACTCTCTCTCAGCAATGTCATGAGTTCAAAACTAAGTGCCTCCTCTCAAAAAAACATTAGAAGCTGAAGGAAGCTAATTGTTAGGGCGTAGTTAAAAATTGTTCTGGGGGTTAGTGCACTAACCTTTACCATACTAAAACCTGAATAAAATGTTCCTTCAGTTAGGTCTCATAGCAAAAAATGTGTAAATGCAAACCAAGGTTAGCACATTGACATGTATGATATGCAGCACAGGCAATATATCTTGTGCGTGGAAGATATTTTAAGTAACATGTCATCTAGTTAATGAAAGTAAACCAACCAACTTTCATTTGGAAATTTCGTCAATATTCGTGTTTTCTGATGTTGGACTTGTATTTACACGCTTCCATGATAAATGTTAGGGAATACTAAGTTTGAAAATTCATTATAATCTTGTAAGAGTAGGATGGTGCCTCTTGGAATTCCAATGATTGTTTGACTGTATGTTGATTAGATTTTTGCATTATCTGCCATTCCACCTGAGAGGATGGCAACAGCAATCATGGAATGCTTTTCTGTCTTAAAGCCAGGTGGCCTGCTCTTTTTCAGGGATTACGGTATTATTTCTTTGTAAGATTTTCATATTTAAATGCTTGCTTATTATTTTACCTGTTTCGAGGTTCTTTCTTTAAGAAATTAGGCTTCATTTTACTTCTTTGCTGTACTATTATTCTAAAGTTTCTAAAGTTCATGTTAAAGCTGATGATAGATGATGGTTTGCAGGACTTTATGACATGACCATGCTTAGGTTTGAGCCAGATAAAAGAGTGGGTTTTAGGCATTACATGCGTTCAGACGGAACGCTCTCTTATTTCTTTGATCTGGATGGTGTGAGGAATCTTTTTGTTGGTGTTGGCTTCAATGAGGTAGCAACATTTCTTTTGGATTCGTTGTATATATTTCATATTACTAACTTGGTATAGTATAAATATTTCTTTCTCTATGATAGAAACAGTTGATATGTGAACGTAGCATTCAATATTGTGCTGAAGATAGGTGCAACAATTTTTTTTCTTGCTTTTGAGAACTTAGTTGTATAATAAAGCTGTAGCTTATTTGTTCCATCATTGCTTATACTTAAAATTTTAATTTTCTAGAGAATTATTTGCATGTTTTGCAGCTTGAGCTAGAATATTGTTGTGTGAAGTCGGTCAATCGACAAAAAGGAAAGAGCATGAGAAGAGTTTGGGTTCATGGGAAATTCCAAAAGCCATTGTGATTCTGCAACTGAAAGTTCCATCCAAAGGTATTATTACTACATGGAGTAATTGGTTCTTATCTATTGTGCAACATTAGTTTGACAAAGATGATAGAGATCTTGTAAGCTTGGGAATTTCATGCTTTTTAATTTTAATTTTGTTCAGAAAACATGCCATAGAAAATTTTAAATTTTAACTAAGAAATGGTTATCAATTATCACAGCTTGTTCTTTTACTGCTGATATATGGCTTATCGTACATTACAATAGACTTAAACTATCACAAATTTACAATAGCACTTATCTGTCATTTTAGCTGTGTAGAAGTAGAGAAGCTAATACTTCTGTTAGCTGTGTAACTGCTGGTGTAAATGCCATAATAGGCATACAATAGTATAATGCGTGGCTAAGTGAAGATCTATCCCTATTTTCTCTGTCTTCTTGGGCCATCATTATAAAAAATTTTGTCTGAATTAAAAAAAAAAAATATGAGAAAAAGTTCTAAGCATATATAATTGGTAGCGGAAAAGACACAAGTATAAGATTGAGGTTTTGAGCCTTTTGGTTATTAATGCTTTATACATACAAGATACAACAGGTAAGAGTTGGTAATACAATATACCGTACTATATAATATTGTCGATCCGCCGTTTGGTTGGGGGTATTTATCAAAGGAAAAGGGAATCAACCCCCCTAATTCCCTTTGTTGCTGTTTGTTAGTCGTTTTTTTCCCATTCCCTTTACCCCCTCCATTACCCCAAATTCTTCTAAGTCCATTCCCCACCCCCCTTCAGGATTTCCATTCCCATTCCCCACCACCACACCACCACATCACCACCTTCTTATGTATCCACACCACCGAAAAACCCAACCACCTTCGCCCCCGACCCTCGCCGCCCCTCCCCCAACCCCGTCGCCCCTACCCCGACCCTCGCCACCTGTCCCCTCCCCCGCAAAAACAATCCCTTGGCTGTCGGTCATCCTCCTACACCACTCGCTGACCTTGAAAATCTTCGTAGACCCTATGTCGCACACTGCCCATGTTCGTACCTCCGTCAACCCTCGTTGGAGGTTGTTGCTCCTCCCAAATCGCTGCCCCTCTTTCAATTGATTGAAGTTCAATTTCGATTGACAATCTTCATAGACCCCTCGTCGGAACACGCTGCCCTTATTTGCACCTCCCTCAACCCTCGTCAGAGGTTGTCGCACCTCCCTCAACCCTCACCGGAGGTTATCGCACCTCCCTCATTGGTTTTTACTTTCTAGGGTTTTTTCGGGGAGAAGTTTTTCCAGACCGAGGGAGGTTTTGCGAGGGGCGAGGGCCGCGGGGCTGACAAGTGGTTTGGTGGCTGAAAACGTTGGAGAGCGAAGCTTTCAGTGTGGTGGTGGTGTGGTGGTGGGAATGGTGGGTTTCATTCCCTTTGTTTTCAAAACAAACAACATACAAAATTTTAGGTATTTTCATTCCATTCCTTGTCTTTCCCTTTGTTCATTCCATTCCAATTACCCCGTATGAACCAAACGACCTATCATGCTGAATCCTTCCAAGTTGCTCATGGCAGTATTTTGTTTGTGTATAGTTTCGAGTTTAACTGCATTTCAGTATTTTAGAATCTTATTATGTCTGTGCTACTTGAGAAAATATCTGATATACTTGACAGGTACCAAAAACAGGAGTGAATTCCCTGCTATGGAGTCCGACTTAGTTCTGTCCGGCTGTTGATTTCCTTGAAAAGGGAACTTGGGAACTAGAAAATGATGATAATGATATTACATTACCAATTCTAAACACTTAGCTGTTGCTCTTACAACAGAATTTGGTTTTGCAATGATCCTTACGATATAAGTTGACAATGTAATGCTGTTGTTCAACTGGTTTTCCTTGTAATTCCTAGCGAGATTCATCTCTACATTTTCATTTCATGCAATTTGATAGTGTTATCTATCCCTTAGTCCCAGTGAGCCTTGTTCTCATGTCCATTAGATGCGTGTCCTGGGAAGTTTTGCTCTGAAACTTGCTTTCGTACTAATCTCTCGGAAATTTAATTCTTTTTAATACATCTATAACATGAAATCAATTTGAATTTGTTATGCTAATTTCAGATTAATTGTAACACTTTTGGTAAGTAGATGTGAGTTGGGATACTATCCACACTAAAGAAAAGTAGTTTGATTAAGGAGTTAAGTCAAAATTTAGGTACTTTTCAACTTTTTCACCGTTTATGTTTGAAGTTCTTTTTTCCTCCGTTTGTGTTTGAAGTTTTTTTATCCACTGTTTGTAGGAAAAACGACCTTTTTCGACGGAAATTCCGACGAAATTTTTCGTCGTGAGACAATTTTTGGCACCAGTTTTCGACGGAATTAAAAAAATACGCCGCGCCACCACCGGCACGGCGTATCACCACCTCCAACCACCCAAAACGCCCTTGTCAACCCCAACCAAACCCACTTCCTAACCCTAACCTATCCGCAGCACCACCACCCATACCCAGATCCACAGCACCACCACCACCCTAACCTATCCACAACACCACCACCTTACCCAAACCCTGATCGAACACTAACCAAAACCCCACCAAACCCATACCCAGATCCACCTACCTAAAACACCCAAACCCTAAAACAAAACAACAATGTTAAAACGGCCAAATTCGGCCATGAAAACTCTAGATCTAGAGTTTTCATGGTTGAATTTGACCGTGCAACCTTCGTTTTGACCTTGACCTTACTTTCTTTAAAAAATTAAAAGGGGCGAAGAAGATGAGGAGGCTGAAGAAGGGGCGAAGAAGAAGAGGAGGCTGAAGAAGAAGGGAGAAGAAGAAGGAAGAGGAGATGGGAGAAGAAGAAATAGAAAGAAAGGAAAAATGAAAAGGGGCGGAGAAGAAGAGAGGAGGAGGGAGAAGGAGAACTGGAAGAATGAGGGGAGGAGAGGGAAGGAGAAGGGGGGGGGAATACATTCAGAGAAGAGGGGTTCTTAGGGTATTTAAAAAGTTTTTTTTAAAAAATATGTTCCGACGGAAATTTTGATCGGAAAGTTCCGACGAATTAAAATTCTGTCGAAAATGATACTAGGAAAAAGCCGTCGGAAAGTTTATATTTTACGACGGAATATAAATCCGTCAGAAATTTCCGTCGGAGATTTTGAATTTTCCAACGGAATTATGTGTCCGTCGGAACCCGTCCGTCGGAATTTGATTGTTTTCTAGTAGTGATGCCAAATTTTCTTCTAATTAAGCGAGGGAATGAAAGGAGGGGTGGACAGCAAAGTCGTTAGAGGCAAAATTATAAGCACTACGGATAGTGAATTGACCATTAGATTTGATTCCCAAACAAAGGGGTCTTCGACTGAAGCCACTCTAAGAAAAGGAATACTCTCAAGTAGCTTGCAAAGATGAAAGATGGTCCTAAATGATATGTTTTATTTCATTAGTATTCCACATTCCGTTACCAACAATGTGATTAACCCTCCAATGAGCAATAGAATCCGGAATGGGGTTGTTGATGGTTAAATAAATGGGTTTAATTTGTCACCCACCCAATGATGGTACCAAATACAAATATCCTCCCCATTATTCCCAATTCTATAAGAGATACCCTTCATGGCTTCATGAGCAACTCTTTTCCTTTTAGAATATCTCTCTAAAGAGGAGAGTCATTAATATTAGGAATGCTAATCCTCCACCCAAGTTTATCCATAAAAGCAAGGTTCCAATTTCTAAAGTTACTGACAGGCTAAAGTCGTATCACCAATCAAAAATAATTCCTAGATTCCACTAACTATACAGATAGGGAAGAAGGGTCGAACCACAGGGAAACCAATCTTCCTATTCCTAATTAATTAAAATAATCTAAATTATAAAGTAAATAAATTATAGATATAAGGAATTAAATTAAGGGAGATAAAAATAGGAAGAAATCAATTAATTAAAGCCTAGGGCATAGGTTCACCAATAAATAATATTCCAGGGTAAAACACAATAATCAATCATCAATGCATCAATTAATCAGATCATAAAAGGCTTTTGCTACGTATTACAATCACAGAGTTAGTTTACCGGGATTAAATCTCATCTCTCGAATTTCGACTTAACCATTTATAAATCAGTCCGCCTATTGAAACTAAGCCTAAACATCAATTTTCATCTCTCGAATCTTGAATCAATATTGCATAACTCATACAATTAAATCAGGCCTTAAATCTCGTCAATATTGCATAGCATTAAATCAATCAATAGGAAATTAATCAAGCATTGATAATTAACAACAATAAATTACCCCTTCATATTATTTATGGATCCCCATAAACCCTAGAAAGAAAACTACTTACTCATAATTAAATGTAAACTAATCAAAGCAATTAAACAAGACATGATGAAATAAAGGAATTAAATTATTGAATATAATAAAGAAGAAATCGTTACCAAAATTAACGGAAATAATGAATTGAATTAAGAACAAAGCTGTAGAGTTGTAGAGAGAGAAAACTAAAAGAAGAGGTACTAAACTTGCTTAACAAAAACGTATATAAACTCGAAAATCCTAAACTTAAACGAACTAAAATTGAGCCTAATCATCCTCCAAAAACACGCGCCCGGTCGGGCGCGCCTTTTTCTTCATCAGGGCTCTTCTCGCGCCCGACCGGGCGCGAGATTGGGCGACTCATGTTCTTCCGCCCTGCCCAGTCGAGCGCGCCTCCTGGCGAACACCTTGGGTCGGGCGAAGATACTTGGGCAACTTGGTCTTCTTATTTGAGCTATTACTTCGGCCCAAACTAAATTTCCTCCTTGGGGCTTTACTTCTTGGTCCAAATGCCTCGGTATAATGGTCGTGCTCCTCCAATGCTCGTAGTCACTTCATAAATCCCGGGAAAATGCTTCAGATGTGCAATTTCCTACAAAACTCAACCAAAACTACGAAAACACTAGAAAACACCAATTAGTAATAAAAGTGGCTCTAAAGAGCCAAAAACATTACCAATTATGACCAAGGGACGGGGGTAAAACACTATATAAAATAGACATATTAGTTATGCATTCCAAGACCCCCCAAACCGGAAGGAAGACAAACATTTTCCCATTCAGGTCTTGTTTAGTTCGCCTTATTTAAGTTCAGATCAGATCAGAAAAAATAAGTTCAGATCATATCATCGTTTTAGGTGCAGTTTTTTTTATCGCTGAATATCTTTGATTTCATAATGAAAAAAAAATATGAAAATCCCATATTAATAAAATAAACATTATAACGAATCTAACAAGACCCTACTTGATACATTTTTTCCGTATAGTTTTCGTACATTTAAGGTCATAGATTGGTCAAATATGTCATTTAGATCAGATCAGATCGGCAAAAATAAGGTGAACCAAACAAGCCCTTAATTAATTCTAGGAAGATAATGGGTTCTATCCACCTTATTCCAAAGGAAACGCCTATATACAACTCCTCTCCAAATCATCAATAATAACATTGGGAAGCAAAGTAGTTTGCATAACATAAAGGGGATTAGAATTAAGAACGAATAATTAAGGTACATGCATCTTCTGGCTATGTTAAGAAGCTTAGCTTGCCATCCTTTTATTCTATTTTTAGTTTTATTAAGGAGATCCACATAATCTAATTTCCTAAGTCTATTAGGACTAATATTCACTCCTAGATACTTACCAAAAGAAGGAGCACCTTTAATATTAGAAGCATCAAGAATAGCTCTCTTAAGGGATACGCACATTTTAGGAGGGAAAATAACCTTAGACTTAGTAGGACTAATGAACAAACCCAAACTTGTACCAAAACCAAGAAGCGCCTCCCTAATAACTCTCACATTTTTCCATCGAAACCTTGGAAAATAAAAAGACATCGTCGGCATAAAAAAAAATAAAAAAAAATAAAAAAAAGAGAGAGAGAGATACTAGCTTCATTGTCAATTTTACTAAGCTAGGAATCCATTGATCGGACCCTCACCTACTCTTTGTTCTATCATTAATATAATGATAATATTTTAAGACAAAGAACCAAAATATAGAAAGAAAAGGGGTCCCCTTGCCCAATCCCTCTAGAAGGAGTAAAACTATCCATAATTTCGCCTTTCCATTAAATAGAAATGGATGGAGTAGTGATACAACTTAAGATAAGATTAACAAGAGAACTAGAAAATTTTAGCCCCATTAAAGTTTTTCTAATGAATCCCCATTCCTAACTATCATAGGCCTTAGAAATATCGATTTTGAAAGCCATAAGGTTTTTTTTGTTCAATTTTTTAAAAAATGAGCAATCTCCTTAATAACTAAAACATTTTTATCAGTAGATCTTCCTTCTATGAAGCTAGATTGGACCGGATTAATAAATTCTCCTAGGCGAGGCTTAATTCTATTTGCAACAATTTTAGTGATAATTTTGTAAATAGAATTACATAAACCAATAGGTTTAAAGTCATTCATAGTTTCTGGTTGCTCAATTTTTGGATAAGAAAAATATATGACTCATTAACATAAGTCGAAATTTTTCCTTCCTTAAAACAATTAGCAACTAGGTTAACAATAGAGCTACCCACCACATCCCAATATTTATGGAAGAATCTAGGTTGAATACCATCCGGTTCCGGGCTTTTCATAGGAGCCATTATACCAAATGCATTTTTTTATTTCCATAGTACTAACATCACTAGAAAGGAACACAAAGTCATCATCCTTCACCAGTGCATTAGGAGTAAAAGGCACAACTCTAGGTTGGCAAATTTGTTTTGACTCAAAAATGTCTTTAAAATAATTTACGCATATTAGTTTAAACACACTTTGACTCATCTTTTAGGGATAAAATTTTACCCCTACTATTTTTAATTTTAGCCAAAATATGAAAATACTTAGCGTTCAATCTCCATATTTCCTCCAATAATCAACCCTGCCTTTTTGTGCTCACTTAATTCGTTCCAATTTAAGAGCATCATTAAGCTGTTTTAAAAGTGAATTTTTGAGATTATTAAGGAAGGATGAGTATCTAGGGCTAAGTACTTTTTGGATTTCATAAA